TCAATGACCCTGTCATTGGAATAAAAACTCTTATAAATTATTTCATTTCAGACTTCACTCTGGGGAGAGGTTGCTGCAAAGCTGCAGTAATGGAAATCTGAGATGTAGTTATTGGCCAAAGGCCACCAGAGACACTGGTCACTTGGATGTGTTTGTTCCTTCCCAGTTTCAAAAGAGTTTCAGCAGAGGAAAAAGAAAATTAAATGTGCCATGATGATTTGAAAGAATTAAAATGTTACCACATCACAGCAAAAGAAACAAGGCATGGAGGTGTTTCTGAAAAGCAACTAAAAGTACAGCACTTGTACCATGCTCATTTCCCATGACTCACGCACAGGTGGCCCCTGATCCAGGCTGTTGTCATGGCTGGCATTTCAAGTTACTTGAGCTCATGAAAGAGCAGCAAATATTGATAAGGAAAAAGAATTAGATATAAAATCTCCTCACCTACCCTTCACTACAATTAATTATTATGCAAATACTAATGTTCTTTTACTGATTCATCGAGAAAAACCCTGAATCTGAAAGTATGAATGGCTTTGCATGAAATTAAACTGCCTGATCATGATCTAACTCTCCATGTTACTTCTAACCAGCTCTTAAAGCAAAGCAAGAAAAAAAATATCCCTATAATCAACGTCTGCAGAAATGTTCACTTGTCCCATGTGCCTGGTGATGTTTTGTTAAAAATTCATACAATTAGGAGCCTAGAAGATGTAAGAATATGCATTTGGAGCTTTCCAACAATTGTTATGGTGTATCCAACCGTCTGTACGTGTTATTAGCGGCTTTTTTTCCGAGCATGCTATTAACCCAGTTGACTTCTTTCTGGTATCTGTTATATAAATCTGCATTTAGCAGTACAGTAGAGTAAGTTGCTGTGTGGTGCTCCTGTGATAAGCATAAGAGGATTTTTTTTTTTTAATCATCATTATGGACAGTAATAATTCTGAGAGCGATACAGAGATATTGATCCACTGACCTAAAAATAGGTGTTTTACAAAGGCAGAGGAGCATTGCTATCCCTATTTTAAGGAATGGGACAACAGGGAGATGATGAGAGAGCAACTCACCTACAGTCAATACAGTGCATTAGTGGCACAGCTACAAATCAAACTTGAGTATTTCTGGCTATTTCTGCACACTCCAGCTATCATGTCTGCGTTGGCATCTGTGGCCACATAGACATTACACAGTGCAATGAGTCAGGAGGTCTGAAAGTTTCCTTAAGCCGTTTACAGTAAGTGATTTAAAATCTTAATCATCTGAGGCAGTTCACTTCTGCTTTTTCATGATAATGAAGCTTAGCACATGATATCACAATCATGAATTTTTGTAAAGCATACTTAGCTCTTCAGAAAAAGTGCTGGATTAAATAACCCTGCAGGCTGAATCCTTCTCTTCGAATAATGAATACAGTACAGGCAGTGGCACGCTTCTTTAGATAGTCCCAAGAACCCTGCTAAAGGGAAGGCCAGTGTCTGTGGCTGTTGAGTCCCTGGTTTCTTTATCTCTACAGCCAACAGGGTATTTTTATTTTTTAATACTTTTCACATGTAGGAATTACTCACTGCTAGCTGACTATTTTCACAAGGACTATCCCAGAGCCTTCAGAAGGGGATGCCTTTTGGTTGCTGCCTATTTCTTGTAGCTGGCTGGAATATAACAAGTTACAGATATAAACAACATTTATTTCTTAGATGCAGCAGCGAACAACAGTAGGGGAAAAAAAATTACTGAAGGAAAAAAATACTGTTTCTTTAAAACATACTTCTCCATTTCTGGAGCTTCATATCATTATTTGAGTCATGTTTTATAGATGAATTTCAAACAGCTGACAATAGGAATTTGGAGTGGAAATGCTGATGGTTCATTATCAGTACTGACAGCAATGGGTGTGACTTTATTAAAGTTCTGTCAACTCTTGGATAGAAACTACAATAGAAACAACCAGTTCAGTCTCTCTCCCTCTCTCTCCTTATCTTAGCACTTATATCACACTCATCACAAAGTGTTACATTTTCCTTTGATGCCACAGGATGAGATTTCTCCTATTGAAGCCATGTGGCACACTACAACCCTACACCCTGCCTACGAGCTGAGAGCAGACCTTCACCATCCTAGCTGTACAGCTGCTGTTGAAGTGTAGGCATAGCCTAAAAGTCAACTGAAAGCTTTTTACCCTTTATTAAGAAAAAAACCAAAAGCAGCACAAACCAAAACTCTCCTGTTGAATAGTGTAACCCGGTGTTATTCTTCGCAACTATCTGCTGGTAATAAAGATAATTTGCATAAGCCCTTTAACAAAGCTTGAAAGTTGGCATAAATATCAATGGATGTAACTTTCAAGCTCTTTTCATCCAAGATACCATGATGTGCACTTGTTATGCAATTGAAAAGAAATGCCAAACAGAAGTTACTGGCTCATATTTCAATCTCACTGCTGTGAGCACCATGAATTCCTGAAGGCTCTGGCACTGTGAGGACAGTGTTTTCCTAAGACAGTGACTATTCTTCATTCACCCCTCTGTGGCTGAGAGGGAAGCACATCCAGATGGATGCTGAGAAAACAAATACTGTTTGCGGCAAAGGGAACTCACATCTTGGAAATAGTAACATGAATTAAAACTTGTTAAGTACTGGAACTCATTATGAAGGTTTAACTGTAAAAATTCTCCATCTTCCTTTAGTGAAGCAGCTTTTCACACTGGACTTTTCAGCCAAGCCCCCTCCATTGCAAATCTACCTTAGCACTTTTCATTTCAACTGCAGTACCAACCATTTTCCCAACACTTTGCCTTCTCTCATGGAGTGGTGGTTTTGTGAAGCTGATAAACATCTGCCTGAAAACCTGGTTGGCACAGCTGAACTAATTTTCAAGTGTGAACATGGGTGTGTAGAAAGCAATTCAAGTTTAACAAGGCATGATGCATGAGGGCATGAGAGAATATCAATCGTGATTGTGACCGAAATAAATCCAAGTGGCAGAGAGGATACAGCTCTGCTCTGGCTACTGGTGTGTGACCTACCTGGACTGAGATCTTCAGCCTCCAGCAGAAGAGAGCAGCACATTAACTCTAAGGCTCTGCCTGATACATTGGTCACATGCTGTAAAAATCTCAGCTTCTGATTATTGTGAGATGGCTATTCAGGGCAGAACAAAACTACCCCACCAACCTCACTTACTCTGTTGGATTTCATAATTAGCTTTTCTATGCTTGTACTACGTCCAGTGTCTGGTGAATAAAAGCAAGTACACAGTGGGATTTCTATGCATCTCAGGAAAGATCCATTTCTTTGTTGGGTGATGCTGAGGAGTCAATTAAATCTTTATGGGGATCAAAATATCTGATGCCCAAATCTTTTTATTTCCTTAGCTACTTTCCCACTCATGTCTTTCACCATCCCTTCCCTGTGCTACTTACAAAATGAAATAAGTGAAAATCGGAAATATTTGCTTTGTCTCAGTGTTGGGTCTAGAAAGATAATGACAGCACTTGACTCCATCACTTAACTTTCATTACTGAGCTGCAGGAACCAACCTCAGATCTTTCCTCTAGCTTTCTCCCAAGGCAAAAGACATGATCTTGAGTCTCTCCTTGCTTGAACCTGGCCCCAAAAGTTTTGGGATCACCCACTAAGCATGCATAAATGTCATACATTTTCTTGGTGCTCCCTATTTATTGTCAGAGTGTCTTTTCCAGAAGTCATTATTCAGAAGTAGTACAGTAAGTGCTTTCAAGCAGCGCCATGAGATATAAGAATATCTGCAACTTCCCCTGCTGAAATTTATAGGCATTTTAATGAAGCTGGGCAACACACAGAACAAAGAAACCCCATGCACAAATTGTTGCACAAAATACTGTGGATTCTATAGTCTACTGGAAACAAGTAGATCCAAAAGTAAAGAAAAACATCTAGCTCTATACCTATATCTATATGCAAAATGGGTACTATTATTTTTTCTGTGCCTTTTGAAAATGTAATAAAATGCATAAACTGTGCTTTCTATGTTTTTTGTTTGTTTTGTTGTTTTTGTTTTTCTATAGAATCAGAAGTGATATTTTCACAGCTCCACACTTAAAATTACTTTACTCCCTATGCTGTTAACTGACCATGGAGAGTACCACAGCATCCTTCCCCACTGAGAGATGGTACTATTACTACTTTCTTTTCCACTCAGCACAAGCTGGCACTAACTTTTTGAGAAGTTTTGCGCTCTGATAATAATTGCAGGTCCATATACCATGGAGTTAATATGTAGCCTTGGGTCATCAATATACATTTAATTTTCTTTTCAATATGCTTGCAGAGGGCCTTTCTTGAAAAGGCACTTTTGCACTCAAAAGGGATCACCAGCTACTGAAGTCTGTGCTGCACTTCATTTCCAAAGTTTAGGTCAGTTGCTTTACCTCTCTTGGTGGTGCTGCTTTACACCTTTGCCCTGGTTTGTGGGTTGTGATAGAGGCACAAGATTTAAAAGCTTTTTTTTACAAAGTGTTTTCCAGGCAAAACTCTCAAGCTAACCTTTTTGCTTCTCAGTTATAGTTTTGCATATAGTTATAGAAAACATGGGAATGCAGGAGACAGTGCTATGACATGGACCAGTTCCCATGACCCTGTATCCCTTCAAATAGTAATTTGCAGCCCTTGGTTATTTTTTGGCCTTATACTACAAAGTAGAAATGGGGTCAGGGAAGGATCTTTGATTTTGTGAGAGCAGAAAACTGAGGGTGTTTTCTCAGGGTGCAAAGGAACCTTTTCAGCTGACAAACAGGGCGATAACACAAGTTAATATGTTGGCACCGAGACCTTTCTGACACTGGAAATAAAAGGTGATAATTTCAGTCACTGTGCAAAGTTCATGTGGATTCCTTCATCACGTGGGACATATTACAGCATAACCCCTAGCTGCAGACAGCAGCTAAGCCTACCCTGGCTGTGACATGCAGCTCCCAATTAGCAGTTAAGGAAAGAGACTTTACAGACTGCACACTCACCTCTGCTCAGCCCATCCGGTCCCCGAAGGATTCGGCATTCTTCTATCTGGCCGAACGGAGAAAACATCACCCTGATATCATTCTCATTACACTTCTTTGAAACCATTCCTATGAACAATTTTCTGTCTTCCACAGCTAGAAGATAAAAATAATGAATGAGCAAAGGCCATTTCATCTTTTTCCTGTGATCCAATGCTTCATTACCACATCAAACCAAGCTCCAGTCATGTGAGTCTGGCTCTGTAACTGAAGACAAGTCCTAAGGCAAACACTTTATACTACAACCTCCCTTCCCTTCCTTCCTTCCTCCCCCATCCCAAATTTCTCATTTTATTTTCTGTCTCTCTCTTTTTTCTAGTGGTGCTTGCTATTTATATAACATATTAATTGGCTGCCTTAGTCATTCTGTATATGCCTCCTCATCACGGTTTCTAAGAAAAAAGCATCCCCTGTTAGAGGGACTTTTAAAGATATATTTGCATAGATTTTTAATTCAGATAAATTCCCTCATCTCCCTCATGTATGAAAATCACAACAGGGGTGAAGGTGAAGAAGGGATGGCACATGTAATGATAGCAGCTAATGAAAAATATTCCTGATAAATGTTTTGAGAGAAATGTTCCTATCTGAGCTTTCAATTTCAACCAACTTAATGCATGGCACTCAAAAAGCAGAAATGTAACAACTGCCCTGGTAAAAGAATGCATTACATTTTCTGGCTTTTTTTTCAGACTGACACAGCCCTCTCCCCTCCAGGAGGACACAAGGCATAGTGTAGAGCATCACTTTAACAAGTGGGCTGCATAATTCTCTCCCAGAGCCAAATCCTTTGATTCATAATGATGCTGAGTTTGCAAAAAAACATGAAAAAGGGCCTTTACCTGAATTACTGCTAGAATATTTCCTATTTGCATTGTCACCAAAATTAGTAAAAGTGAGACTGCTGCAGGAGTCCTGTTAATCAAACTGAAATTTACTGGATTAAATCTGGGGACTCTTGTAAAAAATGAAACAGGTTATCAAAACCTAATTCATCCTGGCAAGACATACAAATGTTAATGCACCCTCCCCATCTATATTAAACCAAAAATGTAAGTGCTTCTCATACAACATATACACCAGTGCTTTCTTCCTCTCTTGAAATGGCATGTAAATCCAATTCACCGTTAATGAGCAGACTGTCAGAGTTTGCAGGGAAGCAAAGAGAGAAGGAAAGCTTTACTCCAGAGAGTCTGCAGTGCACTTACTTATTTCTATTATTGTGCAAATTATTTTTGTAATGAAGTATTTTCATTTCTGGGCTTACTAGAAAAAAAAAAAAAAGAAAAAAGAAAAAAATTTGCCTTGCTCCCCCAACTCTCTCTCCTGTATTAGCACGAGTTTATCAAATGGAATAAATTGCAGCTGAGGAAGATGAAGCTGCATCTATTTTCATAGGATTTTATTTGTTATACTTCAACACTTTAAGTGCATTTAATAATTTCAACAATAAAAATAAGAGATTCATGTTTATTGATCATGAGAGGTGTTTGAAGTGATTTTTCCTCAGAATTGCTGACTTGAAAAAGCATTTGTAGCTTTTATACAAGCAAGCACCAAGACAGTGCATTTTTCAGAATCCAAAACAGAAATCAGCCCCTACAATCCCAGCTTCTCCCAATACAAGCTTGTAAGAAAACTGGCATGAATATAGCACCCAGGAGAATAAGTTTTCCTCAGCAGATTCCTCAAGGCTCAGCATTTTCATTCATGCTTTATATTGAGGTTCCACATGCAGGTAAACCTTCCAGAAAGGGTTAAAAAAAAAAATAAATAAATCATGGGATGAGCCACTTATATACAGATCAGGAGCTTAATATGTAGTATAGGAAATAAGACCTGCAAGTTGAGATTATTATTATTTTATTTATTTTTATATATATGTGTGTGTGTGTGTGTATACACGTTTGTTTATATTTATAGGATCACAGAATCATAGAACTGTTTGTGTTGGAAGGGACCTCAAAGATCATCTAGTTCCAGCCCCACTGCGTGGGCAGGAACACCTCCCAGTAGGGCAGGTTGCTCAGAGCCCCATCCAACCTGGCCTTGAACACTTCCAGGGATGGGGCATCCACAACTTCCCTGGGCAACCTATGCCAGTGTCTCACCACCCTCACAAAAGATAATTTTCTCCTAATATCCAAACTAAATCTACCCTCTTTCAGTATGAAACTGTTCCCCCTCATCCTATCACGAAATGCCCTTGTAAAATGTCTCTCTCCATTTATGTCTTCCATTGAAACTACATCTGATTCATAATGCATACTTGGCCTTGATGCTGCTAACAATTATTTTAAGGATGGTAACATTGAATTGCCTTGCTCACAGCTACCAGGAGAGTCTAGGCAGTCACTTTCCTGGCTGAAAGGATGCCTGTAACTTGGCTGCTTACAATTCCTATTTTGCCTTGACTAATCTCTTTGAAGTAGGTCCCTGGCCAGGCTGTCCCCTCAACAACAGCCACACACCATGGCCCAGGTGCAGGAAATGGAAGGGAGGCAAGGGACCAAACTGGGCTTCCAGGTATGGATTTCTCCATACCACAAACTGAGGTCAGGCTGGGGGCAGCCATGGTGCCAAGCACAGGTCCAAGCATTGCCTTCTGTTCTGTGTTATGAATCTCTTAACTTCTGCCTGTGTGTCAGCGACTATCAGCCAGTTTAAATTTGGGTTGATTTTAGGCTTGAAATACAACATAGGTCTACCCTAATGGTGACTACATCCCAACCCTCTTAAAAATAGCTGCTAGCTGTTGGTCAAATGCCCACCATGCCACCCCAAAGCAGGTTACTCAGGTCCTGCTTAGGTGCAAGGACAAAGACTCAAACCAGAGATTCCCATGGAGATTCAAAAGAAATGAGATGCGAAAGGGAAGGCTTTGTTTTAATTTTCCAAAGTGTAACAGATGACAAACTCCCCACCGCCCTCCTTCAGTTTTGCCAGTAAACCTATAAATATGCCATTTAACGAACATGATTTGCAGGTTTTCAGCTCAAGGGTGATTTTATAGTAAATTAAACATCCAGGTCCCATGTACTATACATCTTAAAAATGCAGATTTCATGAAGAATGCTCAGAGTACACAAAACATATTGATATGATGATGTGCTCTGCATTCAGTGCAATAAGTCAATGCTGATCAGTGTTGAAGCTCAGGAAAATTGCTATTCATTTTTTGGCTGGGGGCCCAGCATAAAAAAAATATTTAAAGGGACAATTGTCAAGACCAAAATGACATGTTTTCACTCCATCTGATAAAGCATCTGATATTACTAGGCTGAAAGAGTTTTTAACAATATATTCTCATGCAGAGAAAGGAATGCCTTTTCACCTCTCTAAGACTGGCTGGCTGGATTTTTCTCTGCATTTTTGGGCAGCCACTTCTTTTCTTCTAAAAGGAATCCTTATCAGCCATGCAGGCACGGTTTGAGAATCAAATAGACAACAGACTGCAAGAAGTACAGGTCAAATGTATTTAGAGGTTAGCAAACTCCCCCGTCACGTCAGCCTGCTGATGTGTCCCAGCGTGTTGGGTTGCTCCCATCGACTGTAAAACAAGGGTCTGAACATTAAGCACACACATCCCAACAAAGCGTGGAGATTGGGAAAGGTGATACCTGCTGCCATCTGGAGAAAGGATGGCAGTCAACAGCCATCTCGCCTGGCTTTACTCATCTACATGTAGGTGTACAGTTTTAGTCTCAGCTGGCTGTTGCCAATGCCAAGAATCAGGTCCTCCAAAGAGTGACTGATCTCACCTCTCCTGGCAAGATGGTATGGCTTCTTTTATGGGAGTCCCACTCAATATTGACAATAAAGAGGGCTGTTACCTTCTAGCTGGCTCCCAAAACTTGCTCATCTTGATAACATATAATGTGCTGAGCTCCAGCTGCAGGATAGAAGGAATAGGTGAGCTCTGAGGGACTGGGCAAAGTTTGGGGGCCGGGAGTGCTTTGGGCAGTGAGAGCAGGCAAAGGAGAAGGCTGGGGCAGGATAACAGAGCTCATGGGTCAGCACTGGTGTGCGCATATCACATAAACATTTCACTACTGCTTGATAATTGTCTCTCCTACACTAGAGGTAGGTTTCAATAATTCAACATCCAGAAAATTAATGGCATTTTTTTGGTGAGCATTTGAGATTTTTATTTCTGAACCTTGCTTATAGGCCTAGCTGCACTTTCTGGCTGCTTTGCTCAACTCTCAGGGCATGAAGTAGATAAAAATCACCTGTAAGCAGCTAATAGGATGGGATGGCTGAGTGCTCTGCCAGTGATGAAGTAGAAGCAGCCAGAAGATCACAGTGAACAAGGTCTGAAGTTCTAGTTACATGAATGGAAGTGTGAAACTGTGTAGTATCTTGATTAAATAATTATGGGATTCACCTCTAATCCACTCAAATACATTACAAACACAAGTCAGCTATGGTGCCCAGGCAGTTAATGTGACACATCCAGTGCTAAACGTCCTAGATTTGGGGTGGGAACCTTCACCCCGAATGCAAGAGCTCTGCATGATGAAGTGGAGTCACCTGTTTTAATATGAGATTAATTTTCTCCTAACTCCATCAAGACTAGCTCTGCAGCACTAGTATGGGTGCTTAGGTTTTGTGTTTGAAGCCAGAGAGCTATGTGAGCCTTCAAAATGTAGCTGAGATGAAGCCAGCCTCTGCTGGGGGACTTCTTTCAAACTGAATCCTCCTGCCTTCTGATAGCCCAGAATAAAATCCTGAAAGATCTAATTTTTTTGCTTTACTCAATTTGCTTCAGTAATGAGTGTTTCTTGCAGTCTGTATGAGATGGCTGTGCTAACCCAGGAGGATAAAGGAGTAGAGATTATCTCTGTACACTACAAAAAAAATTAAACTCTGTAATAATCATGGGAAATCTCCCTAAAGATTTCTCTTCCCTTCTCTCTTCTAAACCCTCTGTCCTCTAATATCACAGTTATATCCTTTTCTAATACATTTTTTAGGAGTCTAGTCAATTAAAGAGTGCACTTTTCATCCAGAAGATGCCTTCTCTTTTGAGAAGACAAAGAAACAGTTAATTACATATTCATGGTTGTTTATTAATTTTAAATTTTTTTTTTCATCCAGAAGGGAAGAGTGGAAAAAGCAGACTTTTTATCTCTATCTGAAAGTCTGTGAAAAAGCCTTGCACACAATCTGCCAAAGTCACACCTGGATCTGGAGCTGCCTGCATTAATTATCAACTTTCCTATGTGTTATTCCGAACATATGGCCTTTAATTGCTCCTTCTGAATAGGCAAAGTTGTGCCACTTAGAATTTAAAAATTATTTCTCTAAGTTTTCACTAATAAAAGAAAAATTATAAGGTCACCCATCTCACCCCCTCCCCTTCCCTTTAAAAAAAAAAAAAAAAAAAAGAAGATAATTTTGTCATTTTCCCTGAAGTGGTGATGCATTGATCCATTTAAGAGCATAGGATAGGTGCCTGAAAGTGTTGACTGTATTCAACTCCTGAACCAAGAAACATTTGAGTATTTGCTAAATCATAGCATGTTAATGACCACAGACAACTTTAAGTCAATCATGTGTTGATGTGCTTTTCTACATTAGAGTGTCTTTGTTTGGAAAAGGAAAAATATTCTTAAATAGACAAATACTGTGCGTGATTGACAGTTGAGATGAATCTAGCAATGGTGGAGCCTTCAAAGTCTTGAAATCATCTTATTCTGGCAGGTGATCCTTAACTGAAACTTTGCAGATAGATTAAAATAACCACCTCACAAAACAAAGGTTGTCAAACTAGAGGTGATCAGAACAGGGCACAGTACAAACTGGAACAAGTTGCCCAACAAAGTTGTGGGAGCTGTAGAGGATTGGATCCAGTTGATCTTTAAGGTCCCTTCCAACTCAAACCATTCTGATTCTAAAAATCTTTCAGGGATGTTACAGTTTTCAAAAATAAAATCTTTTCAAAATCCTCCCATGTAGACAAATTAACAACATAT